TTGCCCCGGAGCGAACCGGCGGGCCGATGATTTTCGTATCTTTGCCGGTAAAATCATGCGGACATGACGACAAATCTCAGACAACTGTTCCTCGAACACGTCGGACAGACATCCGATAACCCGATGATGCTCGAAGTGGAGCGCGCCGAAGGAATCTACCTGTACGGGCGAGACGGGAAACGGTGGATCGACCTGATCTCCGGCGTCTCGGTCAGCGCCGTAGGGCACGGCAACCGGCAGGTATCGACGCGATCTGCTCGCAGGCGCAGGACTACCTGCACCTGATGGTCTACGGCGAAGCGGTCGAATCGCCTCAGGTACGCTACGCACAGCGCATCGCATCGCTGCTGCCCGATCCGCTCGACACGGTTTATTTCGTCAATTCGGGCAGCGAAGCGGTCGAAGGGGCGTTGAAACTGCCAAACGCTATACCGGACGAACCGAAATCATCTATTACAAGAACGCTTACCACGGCAGTACGCACGGCTCGCTCAGCGTGATGGGCGGAGAGGAGTACCGCAACGCATACCGCCCGCTACTGCCGGACACCCGGCAAATCCGGTTCAACGAACCCGCAGACCTGCGATACGTCACTCCGCGCACGGCCTGCGTCATCATCGAACCGGTACAGGGCGAAGGCGGTATTTTCCCGCCGACCGGGACTACCTGCAAGCGCTACGCGACCGGTGCGACCAGACCGGAACGCTACTGATCTACGACGAAATCCAGACCGGACTCGGACGTACCGGCACCCTCTACTTTTTCCAGCAGTACGGCATCGTCCCGGACATCTTGTGCACGGCGAAAGCTTTCGGCGGCGGTATGCCGCTGGGCGCGTTCATCGCGTCGAATCGAATCATGTCGGTGCTGAAACCAACCCGGTACTGGGCCACATCACCACGTTCGGCGGACACCCTCTGCTGCTGCGCCGGGCTCGCCGCCCTGGAATACATCCTGTCCGAACGACTGACGGAACAGGCCGACGCAAAAGGAGCGTTGTACGAAAGCCTGCTCGCCGACATCCGCTCGTCCGCGAAATCCGGCGGACGGGTCTGCTGCTGGGCGTCGAATTCGGCGACAGCGAACTGACCGCGCGGATCGTGCTGCGGGCGATCGACCGGGGGCTGATGACCGAATGGTTTCCTGTTTCACGACACGGCAATGCGGATCGCCCCGCCGCTGACAATCACCGACGCGGAGATCCGCGAATCCTGCGAGATTCTGCTGGAAGTGCTGAACGGAGCTGCCGAATAGCCTTTCCCCGACGCTCCGTGCCGAAGCCGGGATATCCGTTGCAAACGGGCGGCGAACGCTCTCCGGCGGTTTTAAAACCGAATGGTTTGATATTCGCAAAAAGTCTTAATTTTGCAAGGCTATGACTGATTTTTCCGAGCAAAACTAATCACTAAATAAACAAACTCAACAATGAAAAAAACGTTGAAAATAGTTGTTCTGGCCAAACAGGTTCCCGACACCCGCAACGTCGGCAAAGACGCCATGAAAGCCGACGGAACGGTGAATCGCGCAGCCTTGCCGGCCATTTTCAACCCGGAGACCTCAACGCGCTCGAACAGGCCCTCGTCCTGAAGGACATGTTTCCCGGCAGCCGCGTCGACATCCTGACGATGGGCCCCGGACGGGCGGCGGAAATTATCCGCGAAGGCATGTTCCGCGGAGCCGACGGCGGCGTACTGCTGACCGACCGCAAATTCGCCGGATCGGATACGCTGCCACTTCCTACGCTCTGTCCCGCGCCGCAGCCAAAATGAACCCGACATCATCATCATCGCCGGCCGCCAGGCCATCGACGGCGACACCGCCCAGGTAGGCCCGCAGGTCGCCGAGAAGATGAACCTGCCGCAGGTAACCTACGCCGAAGAGATCGTCGGCGTGGAAGGCGACGAACTGGTGATCCGTCGCCGGCTCGAACACGGCGTCGAAACGGTAGCCTGCCGTATGCCGCTGGTAATGACGGTCAACGGCTCGGCCGCTGAATGCCGTCCGCGCCACGCCAAACTGGTGATGAAATACAAATATGCGATTACGCCGAGCGAATGCCAGCAGGACGAAGTGGGCTGCTACGCCGACCTGCGCGCACAGCGCCCGTACCTGAATATTACCGAATGGAACGTAGCCGACGTCGATGCCGACGACCGGCAACTGGGCCTCTCCGGCTCTCCGACCAAGGTTAAAAAGATCGAGAACGTGGTGTTCGCCGCCAAGGAAGCCAAGAAGCTGACCGCTTCCGACCAGGACATCGACTCCCTGATGCAGGAACTGATCGCCAGTCATACCTTAGGATAACCCGAATCGTAAACTGATAAACGCATATTGATGAACAACATATTTGTATATTGCGAAATCGAGGACGGCAAGGTGGCCGACGTGTCGCTGGAACTACTGACCAAAGGCCGCGTGCTGGCCGACACGCTCGGGTGCGAACTCGAAGCGCTGGCGCTGGGACACAACCTCGCCGGAATTGAAAAAGAACTGGCCGAATACGGCGCCGACAGGGTACACGTTGCCGACTGCGAATGCCTCGCCCCGTACCGCACGCTGCCGCATGCGGCGGTCGTCTGCGGGATTTTCAAGGAAGAGCAACCGCAGATCGCGCTGTTCGGCGCCACGCCGGTCGGACGCGACCTCGGCCCGCGCGTATCGTCGACGCTGCACAGCGGCCTGACGGCCGACTGCACGAGCCTCGAAATCGGCTCGCACACCGACGTGAAAAGCGGCAAAGAGTATAGACCTGCTTTACCAGATCCGTCCTGCATTCGGCGGCAACATCATCGCGACGATCATCAATCCGGATCATCGTCCGCAGATGGCCACCGTCCGCGAAGGCGTGATGAAGAAAGAAAAGGCCAAAACGCCGGTAAAGGCATCGTTAAAAAAGTCGATCCGAAGAATACGTGAACGACGCGGATTTCGTCGTACGGATCATCGACCGGCAGATCGAAGAGCGCAAGATCAATATCAAGGCGCTCCGGTGATCGTAGCCGGCGGTTACGGCATGGGATCGAAAGAGAATTTCGACTTGCTGTTCGAACTGGCCGACGTGCTGGGCGCCGAGGTAGGCGCTTCGCGCGCGGCGGTCGACGCGGGAATGGCCGAACACGGCCGGCAGGTCGGACAAACCGGCGTTACGGTGCGTCCGAAACTGTACATCGCCTGCGGTATCTCGGGCCAGATCCAGCATACGGCCGGTATGGATCAATCGTCGATGATCATCTCGATCAATACCGATCCGGACGCGCCGATCAACAAAATCGCGGATTACGCGATCACGGGCGACGTGACGGAAGTGATCCCGAAAATGATCAAATACTACAAACAGAACTCGAAATAACGCACGACGTGCCTAATTCACAATAAACGATGGCTAATTTCTTTTTAGACAATAAAGACCTCCAGTACCACATGAACCATCCGTTGATGAAGCGGATCGTGGAACTCAAGGAGAAAGGCTATGCCGACAAAGATTTATACGATTATGCGCCGACCGATTTCGAGGACGCGCAGGACAGCTACCGCCGCGTGATGGAGATCATCGGCGAGGTCTGCGGCGACGTGATCGCCCCGAATGCCGAAGGCGTCGACCACGACGGCCCGAAGTGGTGGACGACCATGTGGTCTATGCCCCGGGAACGGCCCGGAACATCGAGGCGCTGAACAAAGCCGGTCTGTTCGGCCTGACGCTGCCGCGCAAGTACGAAGGACTGAACTTTCCGCTGATCTACTTCGTGATGGCGAACGAAATGGTAGCCCGCGCCGACGCCGGATTCGAAAACATCTGGGGTTTGCAGGACTGCGCCGAAACGCTGAACGAGTTTGCTTCGGAAGAGATCAAAGCGAAATACCTGCCGCGCGTATCGCGGGGCGAAACCTGCGCGATGGATCTGACCGAGCCCGACGCCGGCAGCGACCTGCAGGCCGTAATGCTGAAGGCCCACTGGGACGAAGCGAAAGGGACTTGGTTGCTGAACGGCGTGAAACGGTTCATCACCAACGGCGACGGACACATCTCGCTGGTGCTGGCCCGTTCGGAAGAGGGAACGGCCGACGCGCGCGGACTGTCGATGTTCGTTTACGACCGCAACCACATGGCCGTAAAGGTGCGCCGCATCGAGAATAAACTCGGTATCAAAGGTTCGCCGACCTGCGAGTTGGTCTTCACGAACGCCCCGCCGAACTGGTCGGCGACCGGAAGATGGGGCTGATCAATACGTGATGTCGCTGATGAACGCAGCCCGTCTGGGCATCGGCGCGCAATCGACCGGCCTGTCGGAAGCCGCTTACCGCGAAGCGTTGAAATACGCCCGCGAACGCCAGCAGTTCGGCAAGGCGATCATCGATTCCCGGCAATCCGCGAACTGCTGGCGAACATGAAGGCCAAACTGCAGGGATCGCGCGCGATGCTGTACGAGACGACCCGTTTCGTAGAGATCTACAAAGACCTCACCCACATCAGCCACGACCGCAAGCTCACGCCGGAAGAACGCGCCGAGATGAAAGCCTACACCCGGCTTGCGGACGCCTTCACGCCGATGCTGAAGCTGATGAGCAGCGAATACTGCAACTCGCTGGCCTACGATGCGATCCAGATTTTCGGCGGCTCGGGCTACATGAAAGACTACCCGATCGAGCGCATTTACCGCGACGCGCGTATCACGAACATTTACGAGGGCACTTCGCAGTTGCAGGTCGTTGCGGCGATCCGCCACGTCACCACGGGCACCTACCTCGCCCAGATCAAGGAATACGAGGCCCAGACCTACGAACAGAAACACCTGCACGAAAAGCTGGTCGCCCTGCGCGAACAGTACGAACAGAGCGTCCAAAAGGTCGTTTCGGCCGAGAACAACGAGTTTATCGACTTCCATGCCCGCCGCATGGTGGAGATGGCCGCGCACATCATCATCAGCTACCTGCTGATGCGCCAGGCCGGCGAAGTGGAAGACTACCGCAACTCCGCGGAACTCTACGTGAAATACGCAGAGGCTCAGAACAGCGCGGCGGCACGCTACATCGAAAGTTCGACGCTGGCCGATCTGGATCTGATCTCCGCCGTCAAGGAAGAGGAGCTCTGATTTCCATATCCGTTTAACGGGCGGGGCCTCCGGGATCGTGAAGATTTCCCGGAGGCCCCGCTTCTATTCAAACTTCACGGTCAGCGGCGTTCATTGTAAAGCGCGAGACGCGCTTTACACAGCCGTTCGATCAGTTCCTCATTTTCTGCGTCCGTTCGACGTATCCGCCGATCTCGGCCCGGCACGGGCCGCACCGGAACAGGAAAAGCGCATCCCTGCGGTATACTCCAGCCGGCTCAGCATCCGGCTGTTGGAGGTCTGTTCGGGATCGAGCAGCAGGTACAACTCGGGCGAGATCGTCCGCATACGCAGCAGCAGCGTCGTCAGCGTGTGCAGGTCGGTATCTGCGGCGTAATAAACGCCGTAGAGCGCATGCAGCAGCATTTCGGCAGCGCAGGCGGTCAGGAACGCCGTCTGCCGGAAATCCCCGGCTGCAAGGCTCCGCCCGGCGGCCGCAAGGAATCCCCCGGCCTGCCCCGAAAACAACTCGTAACGGTCGAGCGCCGCGAAATAAAATTTCTCGTAATTGCAGGGATTCCGGACGACCGTTTCCCGGCTGTACAGCACCTTCCCTTCGGACAACGCCATGCGGTAAAACCATTTCATTTTGCCGGCGGCCTCGGCTGCCGAATACAGGTGCAGGTTGATGAAAGAGATCGCCCGACTCCTGGTAGGATATTTAAATTTGAGGTAACCGTGCAGGTCGAGCCATTCCATCGTGGGATGCATCGGGGTACGACCAGCAGGTCGTAAGCCGCCATTTCGCTGAACGGCATCGCACCGGCCAGCGAGCCGAACAGAACGACCCGTTCGGGATCGACCGCCTGCCGGATCGTCCGGACGATCCGGCCGAGCTCGCCGGGATCGTAACTCGCAGCGACCGCAGGTTGTCCGCCGCTTGTTCGGCGGATTGTTCGTCCGCATCCCGGAATAAATTTTCCTGCAAAAAATCCTGTTTCTGTAAAAAATTCGGTATCGTTTCCATTTTATCAATTTTAAAAGTTTAGGGAATAAAGGTTCCGGCCTTGCCGCGCACGGACTGCGGCGAAGCGAATCAAGTATTGACCGACAGGCATTTGTCAGATCAACAGATAAAAACGGAAACGGGATAACCTGTCACGGGGCGGATGCCCGGAGTTGGCCTTGCGGCTGGTCGGTACCGGAGTACAGACGGATAATGTTGTTCGCATAAATAAAAAATATGCGCAGCTGCGAACAACATTATCCCCATTTTCAGGTTCCAAGTGTGCCATTCGCGGGTCGCTGAACCCCAACGGCTCTGCGCATACTTTGTTTAAGTATGTTGCACTCTGAAACATTTCGTGAAAATGATTTTATATAATGTTGTTCGCAAGAGCAAAGGTACGAAATTTTAATTTCCGAGTATACAAACCGGCAGATAAAAACAGAATATGGGATAACCTGTCGCGGGGCGGATGCCCAGAGTTGGCCTTGCGGCTGGTCGGTACCGGAGTACGGACGGGATACATGGTTCGCATAAAATAAAAAATGCGCAGTTGCGAACCATATCCCCTTGTTACAGGCTCAATAAAGTGCCATTCGCGGGTCGCTAAACCCCAACAGCTCTGCGCATACCTTTTTAAATTGGTTGCTTTATCGAGCACCATAGTAACAATTAATAAATATATGATTCGCAAGAGCAAAGATACAAATTTTAATTCCCGAGTATACAAACCGGCAGATAAAAAGAATATGGGATAACCTGTCGCGGGGCGGATGCCCGAAGTTGACCTTGCGGCCGGTCGGTACCGGAGTACGGACGGGACACATGGTTCGCATAAAATAGTAGGCAGAAGTTATGAAACTAATTCTATATATTTATAACATATTCGGTTGATATACATATAAATATCTTTAAAAAGACGCAAAAATGCAATGTTTTACCTATGTTGTACCCGTTAAAAGAATAAACGCTCAACTCGTTAAAGTTAAGCGTTTACGATGTAGTCTTGTTGACCCACCAGGATTCGAACCTGGAACGACAGAACCAAATCTGCTGTGTTACCATTACACCATGGGTCAAACTTATTTCAGAACCGGATTTGAGCGACAAATATAGTGCAAGAAATTTTTATCTGCAAATTTCGTCCATGATCCGGGCGGTAGCTCCTTTGTGCTGCAATACATACTCCTTGCAAATCGTTCCGCTGCGTCCCGTGGCGTCCGGATCGTCGTGCAGGCCTGCGAACCATCGTTCCAGTTCTTCCGCCGAGGCGATACTCGCCGCACCGCGCAGCGTCACCAGATCGCGTGCCTCCCTGAATTTCCCGTAACGGGGTCCGAAAGCCAGCGGCAGTCCAAAGGTGGCCGCTTCCAGCGTATTGTGTATCCCGGCGCCGAAACCTCCGCCGATGTATCCCCAGCGGCCGTAGCGGTAGACGGACGACAGGATCCCGATCGTATCGACGAACAGGACGCCCGCTGCGGCGAGGTCGCTTTGCGGAGTCAGCTGCGTGTAGCGCAGCGCCGGGCGGGAAATACGCTCGCAGAACTTTTCGATCCGTGCGGGATCGATTTCGTGCGGCGCGACGATGAATTTCACGTCCGGATACCGTTCGATCAATCCCCTAACAATTCTTCGTCGGGCGGCCATGTGCTGCCAGCGATAAATACCGGAGCGTCTGCCGCGAACCGTTCGATTTCGGGTAGCCGTTTCGCTTGCTGCGCGATTTCGTATACCCGGTCGAAGCGGGTGTCGCCCGCCACACTGACCTGCTCGATGCCGATGCTTTTCAGCAAATTTCGCGAAGAGTCGTTTTGGACGAAGATATGCCGGAAGCTCTCAGCGCGCTGCGGAAAAGTCCGCCGTAAGGACGGAAGAAATCTGTCCGTCGCGGAATATCGACGAGATCAAGTAGAGTTTCGTGCCCGCCCGTTTCATCGCCAGCAGGTAGTTGACCCAGAATTCGTATTTGACGAAAACGGCGATTTTAGGCCGCACGATCGCCATGAAACGGCGCACGTTGCGCGGGGTGTCGGGCGGCAGGTAAAATGTAGTCGGCTCCGGGGTAGTTTTTGCGGATCTCGTAGCCGGACGGAGAAAAGAAGGTGACCAGTATCTTGTAACCCGGACACGCTTTGCGGAACGCTTCGATCACCGGCCGTCCTGTTCGAATTCGCCGAGCGAAGCGGCATGGAACCATGCGATGTCGGCTCCGGAGTCCACCGTCCGGGCCAGTTTGTCGAAAATGCCCTTCCGTCCCCGCACCCAGAGTCGCGCTTTGGGGTTGAACAGGGCGGCAAGCCGTATCGCGGCGTTTGTCAAATAGATGCCAGAGTTGTAGAGCAGCCGCATCGGTCGTTATTTGAGAATATCCCGCAGCCCTTTGCGGTTCAGTACGGCAATCGACGACGCTTCGGATCGGATCAGGTGTTTCTTTTCCAGTTCCATGAGTACGGTTTGCAGCGCGCTGCGCGTGGCGTCGAAATATTCGGCGATTTCGCGGATGTCGGGCACCGGTACCGAGCCGGATTCTTCGGAAGTGTGTTCCAGCAGGTAAGTGGCGACTTTCTCTTTCAGCGACCGGAACGACAGGAAAAAGATTTTTTTCGACCAGACGTTGGCGCGGTTCGAAATGATGTCGATAAAGTTCGACATAATCAGCACGTTGGCCTGCATCAATTCGAAAATATAGCCCCGGTGCAGCGTCATGATCGTTACGTCGCCGTCGGCGATCACGTCGATCGGCAGTTTGTTGTAACCGCCGAACAGGAAAGCGGGGGCGATCAACTGCGGAGCCTCGATCGGGTCTACCACGATCGTTTTGCCGCCCGAAACCATCTCTCCGTGCACCCGTCCTTTCAGGATGATCATCAGGCCCGAATAGGCGTATCCCGGTGGCGATGCAGTCTTTATCCTTGTATTCGGTCAGGGAGAATTCGCCCCTTTCACCGATCGTTTTCCCCGATCTGTTCCGCCGTCAGACCTCTGAACAGCGGGCACTGAGCCAATATCGCATACATATCCTTCACAGATTTAAAAGGTTCTCTAATAATGCGTGAAGTTACTACTTTTTCTTCATTCCGCCAAGCGGTTTCGGCAGATCGGCGGTTACCAGCGCGGAACCATCGCGTTCGGAATGTAGCGCAGCCGGTGCGTGGAATCGGGCAGCAGGTCGACGGCGATTAAGTCGAACTGCGTATCCGCGTCGATCCGGTACAGGGCGACGTATTGCTGTGCGGCCCGGAACAGCGCGTTGAATTTTTTCCGGGTCATGGCCTCTTCGGGCGCGGTCAGTCCGTCCGCCTTCCGGGATTTCACTTCCACGATGTGCAACACGCCCTCTTTACGGGCGACAATGTCCAGCTCGTAACGGCCGCTGCGCCAGTTGCGGTGCAGCAGGTCGAAACCTTCCGAAAGGAGAAAGCGGGCGGCGATCTCCTCGCCGCGTTGTCCGATACGTATCGACGACATGCCGCGAAGTTACATCAGAAAACTCAGGTCTTCGTCCGGATGCACCTCGAACGGCTGCGTCCCGCAACGGAAGATCCGCATCGGGCGGTTGCCGATCAACGACAGCCGGTCGCCTTCGACCCGCAACATGCACCCTTCGCGCAGTCCGGCGACGTAAGTTTCCGGATTCGCAGCGATGTATTCCAGAATGCGCTGTTCGCGGGTTTCGCCGGCATGACCGTCGGGATGGGCGTCCGTATAATGCGGATTGATCTGGAATTTGACCAGTCCGGCGGCGATGAACGACGCCGGTTCGACGATCGGCATGTCGTTCGTGGTGCAGATTGTCGGACAGGCCACGTTGCTGCCGGCGCTCCATCCGATATAGGGCATACCGTCGAAGGCCCGTTCGCGGATTGCCTGCACGAGGCCCTGTTGCTGCATGGCCCGGATCAGCGCGAACGTGTTACCGCCGCCGACGACGACCGCTTCGGCCGCACGCACGGCGCGGGCCGGGTTGCTTTCGCGGTGTACGGAACGCACCTCGACGCCCAGTTCCGAAAATCGTGCCTGTACTTTGCTCTGGTAGTCGTCGTAAGAGAACGTAACGGCGGCGTAAGGGATGAACAGCACTTCCCGGACAGGGCCCAGGAACTCCCGGATCTGTCCGACCGGATATTCGAGAAACCCTTCGCCGGCATTGGTCGAATTACTGATAAGCAGTAGACGCATGATATACTGTGTTTTACGAGACGCCTTTACAATCGGGCGATCTCTTTTTCTATTTCTGCCGGAAAGTGCTCGTATTCCAGCGCGTGGACTTTGGCCGCTACCGTCTCCGGCGTATCGGTTTCGGTTACCGGCACGCGGTACTGAGCCAGGATGTCGCCGCTGTCGTAGCGCTCGTTGACGCGGTGGATCGTGATTCCTGTTTCCCGGTCTCCGGCCTCCACGACCGCGCGGTGCACCCGGTCTCCGTACATACCCTTGCCGCCGTGGCGCGGCAGCAGGGCGGATGGATGTTCACGATCCGGTTCGGGTAAGCGGTCAGCAGGTTTTCGGGTACCAGCCACAAGAATCCGGCCAATACGACGTAATCGATCTGCCGCCGGCGCATCAGCACGACGATCCGGTCGCTATTATAGAAGGTGTCCCGGTCGAATACGACCGATTCGATCTGCAGTTTCTCGGCGCGGCGGAGCACTTTGGCATCCGTCTGTTGGTCAATATCAGTTCGACGCGGGCCGTATTCCGGCGGCGAAGTAGCCGGCGATGTTTTCCGCGTTGGAACCCGACCCGGATGCGAAAATGGCTATTTTCTTCATTTTTAGATTTTATGCGATAGTTAACGTGTCGTATCCGTAAAAAAAAGAAAGAATTATCAAAAATAATCGAAAAAGTGTTACTTTTGCAAAAATTTGGCTTTGAAATATAAAGTTATTTTTGGAATAAACACAATTGTTAAACTTAAACTAATTTGATTATGTCAGACTTTTCATCAAAAGTGGTTGAGATCATCGTTGACAAGCTCGGCGTTGATGCTGCTGAAGTTGTTCCCGCCGCAAGCTTTACCAATGACCTGGGCGCGGATTCGCTGGACACCGTGGAATTGATCATGGAATTCGAAAAGGAATTCGAGATTTCGATTCCGGACGAAGATGCTGAAAGATCACCACCGTAGGTGATGCTATTAACTACATTTCTGCCAAGAAATAATTAAGAGCCTTTGAGACAGGGCGTTTGTCAAACGAATTTGTTGTATTTTATGAAACAGAGAAGAGTTGTGATTACGGGGATAGGTACCATTAACCCCTTAGGTAACAGCATTGAGGAGTACTTCACTAATCTTGAAAAAGGTGTAAGCGGAGCAGGACCTATTACTCATTTTGACCTTCTAACTTCAAGACAAAATTTGCCTGCGAACTCAAAGGTTACGAACCGAATAACTTCTTCGATCGCAAGGAGGTGCGTAAATACGACCTCTATTCGCAGTATGCGTTGATCGCCGCCGAACAGGCGGTGCAGGACTCGGGGATCGAGCCCGAAAAGCTCGACCTCGAACGCGTGGGAGTTATCTGGGGATCGGGTATAGGTGGATTGGAAACATTCTACCAAGAGGTAAAGAGCTATGTCGAGGGAGGTTTCATTCCGCGATATAGCCCTTTCTTCATACCTAAGATGATTGCGGATCTGGCTGCCGCCACATTTCGATGAAATACGGTTTCCGGGGCCCGAACTATTGTACGGTTTCGGCCTGCGCTTCGTCGAACCATGCGATGATCGATTCGTTGAATTACATTCGCTGGGGCAAGGCGGACATGATTCTCACGGGAGGTTCCGAGGCCGCGATCAACCCTCCGGGAGTCGGAGGTTTCAATTCGATGCAGGCCCTCTCGACCCGCAACGACGACCCGCAGAAAGCTTCGCGGCCGTTCGATGCCGATCGCGACGGGTTCGTGATCGAGAAGGCGCCGGAGCGTTGCTGCTCGAAGAGTACGAGCATGCCGTTGCCCGCGGGGCCAAAATCTATGCCGAGTAGCCGGCGGCGGCATGAGCGCCGATGCTTACCACCTGACCGCTCCCGATCCGGAAGGGAAAGGCGCGAAAAAGTCCATGCTCGACGCCGTTGCGGATGCGGGCTGAAAGTTGAGGACATCGATTACGTGAATGTGCACGGAACGTCCACTCCGGTAGGCGACATAGCCGAGATCAAAGGATTGTTCGCCGCGTTCGGAGACCACATTTACAACCTGAACATCAGCTCCACGAAGTCGATGACCGGGCACCTGCTGGGCGCCGCCGGTTCGATCGAAGCGCTGGCTTGCGTGATGGCCCTGACCAAAGGGATCGTGCCTCCGACGATCAACAACGAAAACCTCGATCCGAATATCGATCCGAAGCTCAACCTGACGCTCAACGTCGCCCAGAAACGCGATGTGAAGTGCGCGCTGAGCAACACGTTCGGTTTCGGCGGACACAACTCGACGGTCGTACTCAAAAAGATGTAATGTTTGGAACGATACAGTCTTATTTCAGGCTGCGTTACGGCAGGGATAAGGCATATTATCGAATGCTGAAAACTATTTTCGGGCTTCGTCCGAATAATATAGAACTCTATAAGCTGGCCTTGATTCACAGGTCAGCTTCCTTGTTTCTGGACGACGGGGCCCCGATCAATAACGAACGGCTTGAATTCCTCGGCGACGCGGTGATCGAGTCGATCGTATCGGATTTCCTGTTCATCGAGTTTCCCGAGGCGGACGAGGGATTTCTGTCTCGGTTGCGTTCGCGAATCGTCCGGCGTTCGTCGCTGAACCGGCTGGCGATCGAGATCGGGCTCGACCGGTACGTGATCGCCCAGGGCGGCAACGGCTTTGCCCAGAAACACCTGTACGGGGATACGCTCGAAGCAATGATGGGAGCGGTTTACCTCGACAAGGGATACGATTTTTCGAACCGGCTTTTTATCAACGGGATTCTGCGGAAATACGTCGATCTGGACGATATGTCCGAGCAGGAGACCGATTTTAAGAGCCGTTTGATCGAATGGAGTCAGAAAAACCGGAAACGCTTGCAGTTCGATTCGGCGCCCAGCGCGTCGTATACGGCCAAATCGCCTCATTTTCGGACGACCGTTTTGGTGGACGGCCGACCGTCCGGCGACGGGGAGGGAGACAGTAAAAAGGAGTCTGAACAGCGGGCGTGTCAGGAGGCGATCCGTCGGCTGGAACGGCTGGGGGAATCGGTGCTTTCCGAGGCAGCCGGAGGTTCGGACGGCGAATGACGTTATAAACGGAATGATGCGGGATATTTCATCGGTTACGGACAAACAGGTGCGCGAAAAACTGGTTGCGCAAGGACCGTCTGCGCTGTCGGATGCCGAATTGCTGAGCATTCTGCTTCGGGACGGCGATGCCGGGGATTCGGCCGTCGGGCTGGCGGAGCGATTGCTGGCGCACTTCGGCGGAAGCCTTGCCCGGATGGAACGTTGCGATTTGCCGGCCCTGCGCATGGTGGGAGGGCTCGGTATCCGCAGAGCCGCCACGGTTGCCGCCGCGCTGGAACTGGGGCGCAGGCTTCGGATCGAAGAGGGACAACAGATCGATTCGGTGCGTACCGATCAGGATATCGTCGCGATGTTCCAGCCGCAGCTCGGCGCGTTGCCTTACGAAGAGTTCTGGGCGGTTTATCTCAATGCTTCGAACCGGGTGATCGACCGGATGCGGGTCAGCCAGGGGGGCGTTTCTGCTACCGTCGTGGATCACCGGCTGATCGTCAAGCGGGCCGTCGAAAAACTGGCGAATGCGCTGGTACTGGTGCACAATCATCCGTCGGGAAACGAACTGCCGAGCGACGAAGACAAAGCCCTGACCGGTCGGGTCGATCTGGCGGCTTCGCTGTTCGACATTACGCTGCTCGATCATATCATCGTTACGGCGGGGCCTTGTTACAGTTTCCGCAGTCACGGCTTTTTCGATAAACGGCCGAATCCGTAGGAGTCCGGTGCGCAACGCATGTTTTTATTTACGGAAGAGCGGTGCGCTTTTGATCGAAATTCATTTACTTTGCATTTCCAAACGGCAGAAAAATGGCACTTATTTATGTATAGAAGCGGGGACGGACGTAGGTTCGGTGGCGCTGGCCAAAAACGGCGAATTGCTTTCGCTGCTTGAGAATCTCGAAGGAAGACAGCATGCGCAGAACCTGGCCGTTTACGTGCAGGAAGTATTGCAGGAACATGACCTGGATGCGGGAGATCTGGATGCGGTGGCGGTCGGCAAGGGCCGGGTTCGTATACGGGGCTGCGGATCGCCGTCTCGCTGGCTAAGGGAATCTGTTACGGCGCCGGGATTCCGCTGATCGCCGTGAACAGCCTCGAGGCGCTGGTTCACGTTGCTCTGAAGATTTCGATGCGGGGATTCTCGGCGTGGACGATATGCGGAACATGAAGTTGCTGCCGATGATCGACGCCCGCCGGATGGAGGTATACTGCCAGTTGTTCGATGCGGCGGCGAAGCCGCTCTCGGAAGTGACGGCGCATATCGTCACGCCCGAAGTTTTCTGGAACAACGTACCGAAAAGGGCGGATTGCTGGTGTTCGGGAATGGCGCGGCGAAGAGCCGGGAGCTGTTTACCGAGCCGGGCGTACATTTTGCGGAGGTCACTCCTTCGGCTCGCGGACTGGTCAAACCGGCTTTCAAGGCCTTTGCGGCGAAGAAATTCGAAGATACGGCCTACTTCGAACCATTTTATCTGAAAAATTTTGTCGTAAATTGTTCGTCAAAAAAATATTTTGATTACATTTGCACCGTAAAAATAATCATTGACCCATGGTGTAATGGTAACACTGCAGATTCTGGTTCTGCCTTTCTTGGTTCGAATCCAGGTGGGTCAACAGAAAGGAAGCTCTTTTCAGGGCTTCCTTTTTTGTACCTGGGTGGAATCAGGATTTTTCTCGTGTCCGTAAAAGGCCGCAGGGATCGCTGTAAACGATCCCTGCGGTTCCCCGAAAAAGGTTAAGTTTGGGTTAAGTGAAGTTGGGTTTATTTCGTTTCGACCAGGAATACCGATTGCGAAGGCTCCACGCGGAGTCTTACCAGGCTGACCCGGTCTTTTCCTTTTTGGCGTATTCCGGCTGTAAAGCGGTGACTTCGCCGGTATGCGGATTCCAGAGTTCGTAGCGTTTTTTGCCGCGCAGCGCGACGGCGGAATCGAACGCTTTCCCGTTGAGGTTCGCAAAATAATAAATGTCTTTTCCGGCGCGCTCTTATGGATGTAGCGCATCGGTACGATGCCTTCGGGAAATTCCACGTCGAACGTTTCCGACGGACGGGCCAGCGCGTTGCGCAATGCATCGGCACCGGGCTTGGCGAGGAAAACGACGCGGCCTCCCGCCGGATTCGTATGGGGCTCGCCGCTGCTGCGCAGCTTTTCCGGCAGCAGTTTGTCCATCAGGGCTACGACCTGCGCGTCTGCATTCGGCTCGGTCGACTTGACCGGCAATTGCGTTGTGAAGATCACCTGGCCGCCGGCTTCGAAGAAGGTCAATATTTTGGCTAGATTCGCGACGCTGATCGTCTTCGACGACGGAACGATCAGCGTGCGGAACGTGTTGTATTGTTTCGTGTTGGCCAGTGTCAGACCGTTCTTGTCGACTCGGCAGGCGTCCTGCAGCACTTCCGGGTGCAGAAACTGGAAATCGCGGGCCGAGTTCGTTGGTCAGCCGCTGGCTGATCTGCACGTAATCCATGTCGGGGATCTTCACGCCTCCCGCGTAAGCTCCCAGCGGTCCGTCGAAGTAGTGCTCCCCTGCATCGTTTCGATCGGATACAGCATCGCGACGTCGGTGACGAAGCGGTCGTCGTTGCGCAGCAGCATGTTCAGCCGCGCCAGGAAAGTGTTGAATTCGTACAGTCCCTGGTGTACAGCCTGTTTCGGTGGGACAGCTCGGGCTCGAACGTAACGTCCCGGTCGTTGAACCATACCGCGTGCGGGATCAGCATGTTGATCCCCTTTGAGTATTGATCCATCGCTACGTTGTAGAGGGTGTCCCACGGGATGTTACCCATCGCTCCGTAGGTTTCCGACATGACCAGCGAATGATCCCAGTTGTAGGCCGCCGAGCTGACTATTTTGTAGAATTTCTCGGCCGGCCGGTCGCCTCCGATTTTGTCGATTCCCGGAACATCCTGGTATTTGAAGCATTTCATCAGGTCGGCGGAAGTTCCGACCGGTTTTTCGATCTCTCGTTATCCTGATGTCCGGTCGCAACGATGCCGTGCGCTTTGCTCCACTCGCTGACCGCTTTCGGATAAGCCGCTGCGTAAAGCTCGGCCCGCAGACCGAACAGGGCGTTCCGCGCGGCCTGCGTTTCCGGGCCGATGTCGTACCAGAGTGCCGGATAGTACAGCGCCGGGCTGGAGCCGTATTTTTTTATGTAGGTCTCGTTGAATGTCGGCGTCCAGCAACGGGCCTGCGCGCGGTACAGCGTCGGTTCGTCGAAAAAGGTCGAAGTGATCGTCTTTCCGAAATATTCGGGCATCCGTTTGTAGTAAGCCTCGTGCGTCATCGAAATGTAGGCTTTGGCCGCCTCTTCGCTCAGATAATCCATGTTCGGATCGTCGTCCGCGACGCAGACGAACTGCATGATTTTCCAGTTCCCTCGGGTACTTTCAGACGATGGTTTCCTCGGTGATGTTGCCTGACAGGTCGATCCGTTCTTTCGTGTCGGCGTTCATGGCCACGGCGGCCATCAGTTGACCCGTTTTACTGACCGGGCTGACGTAGGTGGCCCCGCCCCGGGTTTCTTCTTCGATTTTGTCGAGCCGCTTCATCGTGAGGTTCGGGAAGCGGTTCCGAAACCGGGGAACTCCGTCCGCGTTGATCGCTCCGCCGCTGCCGCTCGGGAATCCGTATTCGTCGTACAGCGAGAGAGTCAGCCCCAGTTCGGCGGCCTTTTCGACGGCGTATTTATAACGTCGAAATACTCTTCGGTCAGGTACTTGGGCGTCAGATTGGGGCCGAACGGCAAAATCGCCAATCCTCCGTAGCCGCATTTTTCCAGAAAGCCGGGCATTTGGGCGTCGATACCTTCTTTGTAATGTCGGTATTGTTCCAGAACCATAGCGGATCGGGACGGAATTTCGTAGGGGGAGTTTTGAATTCGGACGGCTCCTGCGCCACGGCCGTAACGCAAAAAAAACAGGCACAATAGGCTCAGACGAAAGGTTCTCATAAGATCGTATTTTTAGGATAATGCAAAATAACGGATAAAAACGGGTCGAAGGTGCTATTTTTGACATTATAAGTCGATTTTTTGTTTTCGAAAAAGCAAACTTTCAATCGCGCGCGGTGTCAAAACTATCGTTTTTAACGGGACTGGTAAAATGGTCGTGAAAAATAATGTTTGAAATTGTAAAAATAAACTCGGAAAAAATTTTTTATTTATGACTGAATTATTATCTTTGTTACGTATCTACACGCGTTTTACAGCCAGTTATCTATAAATTAAGGTGTAGAGGACTGGAAAATAGGATGGGTGAAGTGCGTCTTCCGGTGAAGAAGAGGCGATGGAGAAAGCGGGGCGGAGACGAATATTTTCCTTGGCGATTTTGGAAACCCGTGGGATTACGTGTTGGCCGCGAGGGATATGCGGCATTTGGTGAACGGAACGGAATAACCGGAAAACTATTGACTTAACGATTAACGCGACTCTATGAATAAACCTCGACCTTGGCTGTATGGGCGGTATTGTCGGTTTTGTGTCTGCTGGGCGTGTCCTGCTGTAAACAACAGCAAAAGGACCCGTTTCGGTACAAGGTCGCGATCATCGGCAATCCGTCGAATCCTGATATCCGGTACGACGAGTCCCAGATGCAGGCCATCAAGGATCTGGGGTATAATACGTTGCAGTTGAACATCGCCTGGGGAGCCCGTCCGGCCGACGAACCGCTGAATCTGGAGGATATCCTTTATGTCGACGGAATCGGCAGCCGGGAAAAAGCCGATCAGCGTTTGCAGGCTATCAAAGAACGGGCTCGGATCGCCAAAAAATGGGGATTCCGGACGTTGTTCCATTTCGGCGCCCCGAGAGTCGATTCGCTGTATAAGATCCTGACGCCGGATCTGATCGACATCGCCACCGAAAAAAACAGCATTCAGAAAAAGAGATCGTCGACAAATACGTTTCGTTGTTGAAAAGGCTGAAGCAAGAGGTTCCCGAGCTGGACGATATCGAAGTTTATACGTTCGATCAAGACGCATGGGTCGCCAACGAGTTCGGAAACGGCCCGACCGACCGGGATATCCCGTTGCACGAACGTATTCCCGCCTTTCTACAAGCTTTGACCGGAGCCTGGGCCGAAGTGAGTCCGGACGGGATGGTCTGGTGGGAACCGTGGGAAATTTCCGCGGGACAGATCTATGCCTGCATTCCGTCGCTTCCGACTCGGAACTTCGGGATGTTTCTGCATTCCAACATAGCGGAAGTACAACTGAGCCGGCCGGTGGATGTCTGGTTTAAAAATACGGTGCAGCTTTGCGCCGAACGCGGCATTCCGGTAGTCGGTGAAATTTTTATGGCCAGCGCTAACGAGGAGTTGCAGCCGCTGACGCATATCGCCGCGCCGCGTCTGGTCGCCGAAGAGTTGGATGCCGTGGGAAATGTCCCGAATATCCAGGGCGTAAAAGAGTATTTCGGACTTACTCCCGACCGTTACGATCCGAATCAGTTGATGGCCGGGATCAAACTGCATGACCTGGCTGTGCCGAACGAACAGGCGTTGGCGGAGTTGGCCGAGCCGTTCGGAACGGCTGCCGCGGATGTGCTTTCCGCTTGGGAAGCCAGCGCGACGGGACTTGCCGTGTTCCCGTGGGACGCTACATGGCGTTTCCGGTTGTTGACCGAGAATCCGGCCGGGATCGAAGTGTACCATCGCTGGGACGTCGCCCATATCGAAGGGGCCGTAGCTCCTTCTCCGAGTTGGAAATCGACGCG